CAGCAACTCGAGTTATCGTAGTTCTCGATATGTTGGCCACACTTCGCGACTCTTACGAACTAGGAACATTGTCGAGCGAGTAAACGACTAATAACAGTTCAAGAATCTATGATGAAACAGGAAGTAGCATCTGCGCCTTCATATCATAATATCACTACTGGTCACCACACCGACTTTGTGGTAACAGTAAACTTATGTGAACAACTATTACTGGAAGCTGTGTTGATTCAATTCCTGGACGACAACATGGTTAGAGTCAGTGAAGTAGAAATGTTCAACATCTGAAATAACCTTATTATACAGTTTGAAGTGTCAGAGAAATTAAATGATCATTACATTAAGTGATAACAGCAAACGCCCTGTAAACGAAGTCAAGGGCAGACTAAAGTATGACAGTTGTGCGACAACCACCACCCACACCATGATGGCATTCATTAATTGGAATTTATAAACGATCGGTGCAACATTTCAGATGGCTTATTTAAGCTAACAAGTCTAGTCGAAAGCTAGTCCTGTTGTATGTACTAGACATACATTTAACTGTTAATATGATTTCCATAGTGACAAGCCTTTTTGTAAATGATGATACATTTCAAGGTCGAGACTGAAGTATTATGTGTATTCTCAAGCCATAGTAGTTCGTCTGACTTGATGAGTCTGTGGAAAGTCTCCCTACCACTTTTGAGCGAGATTGTTGGTTTCTTTGTTTTTGGCTGCTTAGTATATGTACCGATAATTATCTATATTAGTGAAATAGTTTATTTGCTGATATGCAGCGAAAGAATTTTCGTATTCTACGTCATGCCGTTGTGCATATTTCTATTGTGTCAGTAAGGTCAACTAGAGGAAATTATTGACCGAATAGTATCTTCTATAATCTGTACAGAGCAGCGACTAAGTGTTTGATATCTCGTTTCTAACAGCCATATCCATCACATACACGTGAAGATCAAACGGGGTCTCTCTTTGCGTTTAGGCACTAAAAGCAAAGTAAACGCCATTAGATCGCGCACTGAGGTTAGTTTACTGTAGGTCAGTACTATCATTTTTGTCTAGGACACTTAACAATCCGGAGGAATAGAAACGTATCATTGTACTAAGCTTGCAGTCTCAACGTCCATGGCGTTGAGTTTTTCTTTCACTGCTAGAGTATGCATAACATTATATTGAGATACTGCTGTGTGCTGATAGCACACTTCTTTTGTTTTATCTCCTTATTTCCCGACGCCACTCCTGATGCATTTTTTTAAATTTTTGAAGTCAGTCAAAACACTGAAAATAGTTGTTGAATGTCGACCTTCGCCTGAGGATAGCCAATTGGATATAAACATGTTTTAAATGTATTTATCTGTAAAAAGTGAATTAAATTCTGTTGCAAAGGACATTAACGCCATGTTTTTTAAACGATCATTTCCTTTGACGTACTATGGATAAGCTGAATGATTATAAAGATTCTGAATTTTTCCTATTTGCAGGAGTCGTTCTAAGATGAACCAGAACTGCCTATTATTTTATTATGATTTTTTATTCTTAATGCAGGACAGAAGTGTTTAAGTGTCATTCTTTTTATTCATTTTCACTAGAGTATTTAGGGGCTCTGTAAAACAGGTACTTCTTTAAAGTCTTTGCCAGCAGAAAGCGGCGCGGCACGAAGAAATTCATATGCACTTGTATAAACTTGAAGGTTAAAGGGTA